CAGCCTTCCTCCTGCAAATTTTTTCCCTTTTGATTTGCCTTGTGGGTGCCAGCCATTGCCATTCACACAACAGTTCCCAACTCTGCTGATGGTCGATTATTAAATCAGGGCAATTACTCTGTGGCCTCGAGGTTCTTCACATACTTAACTTCTCCCAGAGGCTAACAGATGGGTGGATGCTGGGCTGATAGAGAGCCCTCGTCAGAATAAAACTGCTCCACCTCACGGTCAGCTGAGGAAGCATCTCCGGGAAGACAGCACAGTCCTACTGCGCTTTGGTCTCCAGCAAGTAGCCGTGAATCTGTGGCAGTAACTGAATTTGTGAAAGCAGAGTTCCTGTGTGGCACTCACAGGTGTAATAGCTGTCTTTAGACCCCACTGCTAGTTATGTTGCTCCCGTCCAGAAGAGGACAGCTCCCGTCCCAGCCCTGCGTTTGAGTGTGTATTTCTGCTGGGCGTGCATTGCCCTCTGCCGGCACGATCTGCCAAGAGCTGTGGGAAGGAGCATGCCACAGCGAGCCTGCTGCTGGTCAGTGCTCCTTGTCTGTGGGAGCAGCAGATTTTGCATTGCAGTTAGAATTACGTTAAAAGTTGAAGTGAGGCCAGTGACTTAAGGGAACACACATCAGCCAGTAATAATGTTGTAAGAGTCTTTTCAGTGTGGACCAGGTTTGAAAGCTCTGTGCATAGAAAAACCCTCCAAAATATTTGGCATCAAGTAATGGTGATAGGAAGCTTAGAAATGCTATGTCATTAAAAAAAAAAAGTTAAGACATAGCATAATTCTTCTGGGTGTGTTTGTGTGTCCTGTGTCCCCCTGTGTGACTACTGCACTAGAATAGCAAAAGGTTGCATGGTCCTTCAGTTTCCATAGGTGGGAGCCTTTATTTAGCAACATATGCGGTGTTAGCGCGTTGCAAGGCACAGAGTCATGGACCAGCGATGAGACTCTGTTTCTTGCTGTGGTTACAGTCGTTTAGCGGCAGCTCGAAGGAAAACACATGGGTGCAAAGGTAGATGTGTCCTCCTTCTGCAAGGGTATTCTTTGGGGGAAGGAGTGTTACTCTGTTTTTGTGAGATTTGAGTTGCAAGTCAGCAAAGAATAGGATTATTGGCTATTGCCTTTTTCCAACCAAGGTGTTTTGAGACATCCCAAGGCCTTCCCTTCTCAGGGCCTTTGGCAGGCAGTTGGTCCTTTACAGGTAGGTGTTTGTAGAGCTGGGGTGGTGTTGGTGCAGATCTGAATTCTGGAGTTGGGGTTTTTGGCAGGGAGATGGTTCTAGATCGCATTCTAGCTGCTTGAAAGTTATAGGCTATGTTCTAGATCAAGTTCTAGCTCGCTTGGAAGTTCTAGATCACTCCGTGGTTCTAGATCGGTTTCCAGGCTGGCTTGGGGCTCCATTGGGTTCTGAGATGGGGAGGACCTAGTTCAGGCACCTGTTTTGGCATCTCACCAGGACTTAGAATACTTGCTGATGATGAGAGCAGGCTCACTGGGGTTTTCCCTTTTTATTTCCTTTTTTGTCTTGCACACTTTTTTTTCTTCTTTGGGGCTCTTTGGAGTTGAAGGCCCATAGGACCATTCCATCAGCTGCATCTCTCCCAAGTTTCTAGTATGCTGACTCGCCCTGCCTCTCTGGACTTTCTTTTCACTGGAGGCAACATTGCAAACTGGACAAGCTCCTGCTTGACCATCTCCTTCGCAGCAATTGTTTGCCATGCTCCTGCTCCTGCGGGGCTTGCCAGCCTGCCCAAGAGCCTTGTCCAGTTGGCTTTGGCACCCACTCTTGCGCTCAGAAGAAGCACTTCAGACAGGCCAGGGGTGGCCATGCACCTCACAAAAGGCTCAGCGCTTCTAGAGGACACTCCAGTACCTGCACCCGCAGCTGCAAATGCCAGCAGAACCCCAACGCTGAAGAAGAAACAGAGGAATCGCACCGGCAAGGCTCAAATGTCCGGTGTCACTTGCCTGCTCATGAGATAGAGGGATGGAGCAATGACCATTGCTGCCGCTCACAGAGCCCTTCTCCAGCCTCGCCTCAAGTCCCAGGCAGGTTTGAAAGGCAGGAGGAGAGGAGATTTCCGGGTCCCCTTAGTGCTGCACGCCAGTAAGCTATTTGAAGCGTTGGCAGCAATTACTGGGACAGGCTTGCCGGTGCAGACGGACAGAGAGGACTTGGAAATAGCAGCCACAGGTGGACCCTCATTTCTGGATGAGGAAGATGGCATTGGCTGGGGGGGGGTAATTCCAGGGATGCCCCATC